ATTAATGGATTGAGAATGCTGGGTGTTAGCCAGGGACTGTTCAGTCTCTTAGCTGTCATCTGCTTAGTTTTTTTAGGGCAGTGCTTGTTATAGAGGTATTGAGTCTTTTTTAGAAAATTATTAATACATTCGTCAATATCTGTATTGATTTCTAGCTCAGTGTGCCAGTCAATGTTTGCTACTGCTGTTGTGAAGTTATTAATGGGTGGCTGACCCTCCCTACCCCGGGTTATCCTGGGTGGCTGACCCTCCCTACCCCAGGTTATCCTGGGTGGCTGACCCTCCCTACCCGGGTTATCCTGGGTGGCTGACCCTCCCTACCCGGGTTATCTGGGTGGCTGACCCTCCCTACCCCGGGTTATCCTGGGTGGCTGACCCTCCCTACCCCGGGTTATCCTGGGTGGCTGACCTCCTACCCGGGTTATCCTGGGTGGCTGACCCTCCCTACCCCGGGTTATCCTGGGTGGCTGACCCTCCTACCCGGGTTATCCTGGGTGGCTGACCCTCCCTACCCCGGGTTATCCTGGGTGGCTGACCCTCCCTACCCCGGGTTATCCTGGGTGACTGACCCTCCCTACCCCGGGTTATCCTGGGTGGCTGACCCTCCCTACCCCGGGTTATCCTGGATGGCTGACCCTCCTACCCGGGTTATCCTGGGTGGCTGACCCTCCTACCCCGGGTTATCCTGGGTGGCTGACCCTCCCTACCCCGGGTTATCCTGGGTGGCTGACCCTCCCTACCCCGGGTTATCCTGGGTGGCTGACCCTCCCTACCCCGGGTTATCCTGGGTGGCTGACCCTCCTACCCCGGGTTATCCTGGGTGGCTGACCCTCCCTACCCTGGGTTACCCTGGGTGGCTGACCTTCCCTACCCTGGGTTATCCTGGGTGGCTGACCCTCCCTACCCTGGGTTACCCTGGATGGCTGACCCTCCCTACCCTGGGTTATCCTGGGTGGCTGACCCTCCCTACCCTGGGTTATCCTGGGTGGCTGACCCTCCCTACCCTGGGTTATCCTGGGTGGCTGACCCTCCCTACCCTGGGTTATCCTGGGTGGCTGACCCTCCCTACCCTGGGTTATCCTGGGTGGCTGACCCTCCCTTACCCCAGGTTATCCTGGGTGGCTGGACCCTCCCTACCTGGGTTATCCTGGGTGGCTGACCCTCCCTACCCCGGGTTATCCTGGGTGGCTGACCCTCCCTACCCAGGTTATCCTGGGTGGCTGACCCTCCCTACCCGGGTTATCCTGGGTGGCTGACCTCCCTACCCCGGGTTATCCTGGGTGGCTGGACCCTCCCTACCCGGGTTATCCTGGGTGGCTGACCCTCCTACCCCGGGTTATCCTGGGTGACTGACCTCCCTACCCGGGTTATCCTGGGTGGCTGACCCTCCCTACCCAGGGTTATCCTGGGTGGCTGACCCTCCCTACCCGGGTTATCCTGGGTGACTGACCCTCCTACCCCGGGTTATCCTGGGTGGCATGACCCTCCCTACCCGGGTTATCCTGGGTGGCTGACCCTCCCTACCCCGGGTTATCCTGGGTGACTGACCCTCCCTACCCCGGGTTATCCTGGGTGGCTGACCCTCCCTACCCCGGGTTATCCTGGGTGGCTGACCCTCCCTACCCCGGGTTATCCTGGGTGACTGACCCTCCCTACCCTGGGTTATCCTGGGTGGCTGACCCTCCCTACCCTGGGTTATCATGGGTGGCTAACCCTCCCTACCCTGGGTTATCCTGGGTGGCTGACCCTCCCTACCCCGGGTTATCCTGGGTGGCTGACCCTCCCTTCCCTGGGTTATCCTGGGTGGCTGACCCCCTACCCGGGTTATCCTGGGTGTGACTGACCCTCTCTACCCGGGTTATCCTGGGTGGCTGACCCTCCCTACCCTGGGTTATCCTGGGTGGCTGACCCTCCCTACCCTGGGTTATCCTGGGTGGCTGACCCTCCCTACCCTGGGTTATCCTGGGTGGCTGACCCTCCCTACCCTGGGTTATCCTGGGTGGCTGACCCTCCCTACCCGGGTTATCCTGGGTGGCTGACCCTCCCTACCCCGGGTTATCCTGGGTGGCTGACCCTCCCTACCCTGGGTTATCCTGGGTGGCTGACCCTCCCTACCCTGGGTTATCCTGGGTGACTGACCCTCCCTACCCTGGGTTATCCTGGGTGGCTGACCCTCCCTACCCCGGGTTATCTGGATGGGCTGACCTCCCTACCCGGGTTATCCTGGGTGGCTGACCCTCCCTACCCCGGGTTATCCTGGGTGGCTGACCCTCCCTACCCTGGGTTATCCTGGGTGGCTGACCCTCCCTACCCTGGGTTATCCTGGGTGGCTGACCTCCCTACCCCGGGTTATCTGGGTGGCTGACCCTCCTACCCGGGTTATCCTGGGTGCTGACCCTCCCTACCCGGGTTATCCTGGGTGGCTGACCTCCCTACCCCGGGTTATCCTGGGTGGCTGACCCTCCTACCCGGGTTATCCTGGGTGGCTGACCTCCCTACCCGGGTTATCCTGGGTGGCTGACCCTCCCTACCCCGGGTTATCCTGGGTGGCTGACCCTCCCTACCCCGGGTTATCCTGGGTGGCTGACCCTCCCTACCCTGGGTTATCCTGGGTGGCTGACCCTCCCTACCCCGGGTTATCCTGGGTGGCTGACCTCCCTACCCCGGGTTATCCTGGGTGGCTGACCCTCCCTACCCCGGGTTATCCTGGGTGGCTGACCCTCCCTACCCCGGGTTATCCTGGGTGGCTGACCCTCCCTACCCCGGTTATCCTGGGTGATGACCCTCCCTACCCCGGGTTATCCTGGGTGGCTGACCCTCCTACCCCGGGTTATCCTGGATGGCTGACCCTCCCTACCCCGGGTTATCCTGGGTGGCTGACCCTCCCTACCCCGGGTTATCCTGGGTGGCTGACCCTCCCTACCCCGGGTTATCCTGGGTGGCTGACCCTCCCTACCCGGGTTATCTGGGTGGCTGACCCTCCCTACCCGGGTTATCTGGGTGGCTGACCCTCCCTACCCCGGGTTATCCTGGGTGGCTGACCCTCCCTACCCCGGGTTATCCTGGGTGGCTGACCCTCCCTACCCTGGGTTATCCTGGGTGGCTGACCCTCCCTACCCGGGTTATCCTGGGTGGCTGACCCTCCCTACCCCGGGTTATCTGGGTGGCTGACCCTCCCTACCCCGGGTTATCCTGGGTGGCTGACCACTTCCTACCCGGGTTATCCTGGGTGGCTGACCCTCCCTACCCCGGTTATCCTGGGTGGCTGACCCTCCCTACCCGGGTTATCCTGGGTGACTGACCCTCCCTACCCGGGTTATCCTGGGTACTGACCCTCCCTACCCGGGTTATCCTCGGTGGCTGACCCTCCCTACCCTGGGTTATCCTGGGTGGCTGACCCTCCCTACCCTGGGTTATCCTGGGTGGCTGACCCTCCCTACCCTGGGTTATCCTGGGTGGCTGACCCTCCCTTACCCTGGGTTATCCTGGGTGGCTGACCTCCCTACCCCGGGTTATCCTGGGTGACTGACCTCCCTACCCTGGGTTATCCTGGGTGACTGACCCTCCCTACCCTGGGTTATCCTGGGTGGCTGACCCTCCCTACCCTGGGTTATCCTGGGTGGCTGACCCTCCCTACCCTGGGTTATCCTGGGTGGCTGACTCTCCCTACCCTGGGTTATCCTGGGTGGCTGACCCTCCCTACCCTGGGTTATCCTGGGTGGCTGACCCTCCCTACCCGGGTTATCCTGGGTGGCTGACCTCCCTACCCGGGTTATCCTGGGTGGCTGACCCTCCCTACCCCAGGTTATCCTGGGTGGCTGACCCTCCCTACCCCGGGTTATCCTGGGTGGCTGACCCTCCCTACCCCGGGTTATCCTGGGTGGCTGACCCTCCCTACCCCGGGTTATCCTGGGTGGCTGACCCTCCCTACCCCGGGTTATCCTGGGTGGCTGACCCTCCCTACCCGGGTTATCCTGGGTGGCTGACCCTCCCTACCCCGGGTTATCCTGGGTGGCTGACCCTCCCTACCCCGGGTTATCCTGGGTGGCTGACCCTCCCTACCCTGGGTTATCCTGGGTGGCTGACCCTCCCTACCCGGGTTATCTGGGTGACTGACCTCCCTACCCGGGTTTCCTGGGTGGCTGACCCTCCCTACCCCGGGTTATCCTGGGTGGCTGACCCTCCTACCCCAGGTTATCCTGGGTGGCTGACCCTCCCTACCCTGGGTTATCCTGGGTGGCTGACCCTCCCTACCCCGGGTTATCCTGGGTGGCTGACCCTCCCTACCCCGGGTTATCCTGGGTGGCTGACCCTCCCTACCCCGGGTTATCCTGGGTGGCTGACCTCCCTACCCCGGGTTATCCTGGGTGGCTGACCCTCCCTACCCCGGGTTATCCTGGGTGGCTGACCCTCCCTAACCCCGGGTTATCCTGGATGGCTGACCCTCCCTACCCCAGGTTATCCTGGGTGGCTGACCCTCCCTACCCCGGGTTATCCTGGGTGGCTGACCCTCCCTACCCCGGGTTATCCTGGGTGGCTGACCCTCCCTAACCCCGGGTTATCCTGGATGGCTGACCCTCTGAATGAAAGTCATAACAAGTCTTATTTATTTTTTAATATATTAACACTTCGAAATTTACACTACATTTCATCCTGAACCATTATAAATTGTAAGTTTACCTGGAGTTTACCTGGAGAGAGTTCTGGGAGTCAACGCCCCCGCGGCCCAGTCTGTGACCAGGCCTCCTGGTGGATCAGAGCCTGATCAACCAGGCTGTTACTGCTGGCTGCATGCAAACCAACATATGAGCCACAGCAAGCTTGATAATGATTAAGGATGGAACGAAAGGTCACTGAAAACTTTTTCTTTGCAAATTGTAAGTTAATTGTGAATTTGAATTACTATTGCAAAATTATTTTCTCATTTATTTAAGAAAGGATTTAATCATTTGTTTCAGTATTTGAAATTTTACAGTACTTAGAAATTACTTATTACACAGGTGAAGAGGCGACCTGATGGAACAAGGTACATTACACAGCGACCTGTCAGGAACAAGATGCTGAAGGAGAGAGCACTCAAGATAAATGAAGAAAGAGCGGGACTTACAACAGATGATGATGCTGTGTCAGAGATGAAGGTAATCTTATTTTATTATTACAGTGGACCCCTGGTTATCGGCCGTAATCCGTTCCTGAAGGTCGGCCATTAACAAAATGGCCAATAACCGAATTAATATTTCCCATGAGAATTAATGGAAATGAAAAATTAATTCGTTCCGAACAAAAATATTCACAAAAAAAATATTTTTTTTTACAATTATGTAAGTACGATCTGTTGGAGTGTGAGCAGGGTAATATTTAGTGAAGGGATTCAGGGAAACCGATTATTTTCATATAGTTGGACTTGAGTCCTGGAAATGGGAAGTACGTGTACAATGCCTGCACTTTAAAGGAGGGGTTTGGGATATTGGCAGTTTGGAGGGATATATTGTGTATCTTTATATGTGTATGCTTCTAAACTGTTGTTTTCTGAGCACCTCTGCAAAAGCAGTGATAATGTGCGAGTGTGGTGAAAGTGTTGAATGATGATGAAAGTATTTTCTTTTTGGGGATTTTCTTTCTTTTTTTGCGTCACCCTGCCTCGGTGGGAGACGGCTGACTTGTTGAAAAAAAAAAAAAAAAAAAACGTATTACATACCTTTATTGAAGGCTAATGCTGGCTTCTGGAAGATAGGGAGGAGGAAGGAGGGAGGAGTTAGTGTTTGGAAGGGAAATCCCCCTCCATGAAGACTTTAAGTAGCAATGCCTTCTCTGGGGTTACTTCCCTTCTCTATCTTTTAATGCCACTAGAACCAGCTTGAGAGTCACTGGACCCCTGTCTCACAAAATAACTGTCCAGAGTGCTCTGTTTCTGGCGTCTCTTTAAGATTTCTCTGAAGTGGGACAGGGTTTCGTCACTAAACATGTTGCAGATATGGTTTGTTTCAGCTTTGTCAGGGTGGTGTTTCTCTGCAAAAGCTTGCACCCTGGTCCACATTGCACACACCTCTTTAATCTCTGAAGAAAGCACCTCCTTCACCCCCTCTTTCTCCTCCTCTGAAGCAAGTTCCTCAGCTGCAGTCTGTTGCTGTTCAAGTTGGAGCTCTTGCAGCTCTTCAGTGGTAAGCTCTTCCCTGTGGTCCTCCACCAACTCTTCCACATCCTCACCACTCACCTCCAACCCCAGGGACTTCCCCAAAGACACAATAGAGTCCACAGGGTCGGCATGGTCAGGGTCACGGTGAGTCTCAAACCCTTCAAAATCCCTCTCTTGGACACAATCTGGCCATAGTTTTCTCCAAGCAGAGTTCAAAGTCCTGGAAGTCACTCCCTCCCAAGCCTTATCTATAAGGGTTATGCAATGGAGGATAGTGAAGTGATTCCTCCAGAACTCTCAGGGTCAACTGAGTGTCTGAGGTCACTTCAAAGCACTTTTGAAACACTGCTTTTGTGTAGAGTTTCTTGAAGTTAGAAATGACCTGCTGGTCCATGGGCTGGAGGAGAGGAGTGGTGGTAAGAGGTAAGAGCTTCACTTTTATAAAACTGAAGTCCCTTAACACTTGGTCTTCCAAGTCTGGAGGATGTGCAGGAGCACTGTCCGGTAACAGGAGGCACTTGAGTCGCAATTTCTTTTCTAGGAGGTATTTTTTCACACTTGGGCCAAACACATCATTAACCCACTCTTTGAAAATTTGCCTTGTGACCCATGCCTTATGATTAGCTTTCCACATCACACACAATCTATTCTTCATGACATTGTTTTTGTTAAACACTCTGGGATTTTCTGAGTGATACACAAGTAAAGGCTTCACTTTGAAATCCCCACTAGCATTACCACACAACAGAAGAGTAAGCCTGTCTTTCATAGGCTTGTGTCCTGGCAGTGCCTTTTCCTCCTGGGTAATGTTTACCTGGAGTTTACCTGGAGAGAGTTCCGGGGGTCAACGCCCCCGTGGCCCGGTCTGAGACCAGGCCTCCTGGTGGATCAGAGCCTGATCAACCAGGCTGTTGCTGCTGGCTGCACGCAAACCAACATACGAGCCACAGCCCGGCTGATCCGGAACTGACTTTAGGTGCTTGTCCAGTGCCAGCTTGAAGACTGCCAGGGGTCTGTTGGTAATCCCCCTTATGTGTAGGTCCTGTTTGGCATTTTCTTCCAAAACAAGCCTGTTTCGTCACAGTTGAAAACTTGTTGGGGTTCGATTCCTTCAGCCTTTACATAGTCCTGGAATTTGTGAACATAGTTTTCAGCCACACATTTGTCAGAACTTGTAGCCTCACCATGCCTTACAACACTGTGTATGCCACTATGCTTCTTAAATCTATCAAACCATCCTTTGCTGGCCCTAAATTCACAAACTGCAGCACTTGTTCCAGGCATTTTCTTTGCAAGATCCTCATGCAACTGCTTTGCCTTCTCACAAATAGTAGACTCCACAACACTGTCTCCCACTAATTCTTTTTCCTTAATCCACGATAATAATAACTTTTCCACCTCTCCATTATCGGTGGCCTTTGTTTAGTTAGAAAAGCTACTCCTTTCGCAACATTAGCGTCTTTGATTTGTTCTTTCTTTGCCAGGATGGATGTAATTGTTGATTTATTCTTGCTGTACATCCTGGCAAGTTCCACCACCTTCATACCACTCTTGAATTTTTCTATCACTTCATGCTTAAATTCCATGGTGTTTTTCACTCTCTTTACCACAGGAACTTTCTTTGGAGCCATGGTTACTTACTTCACAGTTGCACTGCAAGAAAAACCACTAAAAACAATGGTAAACAAGCAAAATGTTTGGATGTATGAGCAGAAGCTTCCTCAGCCACCGAGAGACAAAGCCAAACTGAAGTGCAAGCTGCCCCAGCCAGTGGATGGATGTGTCCAAAACGGCCGATAACCAAGCGCCGAAAACCCCGCTGATAACGGAGTTGGCCGATAACCAAACCAGCCGATAACCGGGGGTCCAATGTATTATTATTATTTTAAGATATGGGCTATCTCCCAGCAAGGCATGGTGACCTGAAAAAAAAACAAAAGTTTTTCTTTATAAATTTACTAACTTATACAGGAGCGGTTACTAGCCTCTTGCTCCCAGAATTTTAATTGCCTCTTACGACACACATGACTTACGGAGGAAGGATTCTTTTCCACTTTCCCATGGAGATTAAAAAAATAAACAAGAACTACTAAGAAAACAGAACAAAACTCAGATATATTTGTACAGTGGTACCTAGAGTTTCAAACCGCTCTCAACTTGAACAATTATGTAAGTCTATTTTTGTAAGTGCTTTTGTAAGTGTATTTTTGGGGGTCTGAAATGGACTAATCTAATTTACATTATTCCTTGTGGGAACAAATTATTCGGTAACGGCACTCGAACAACCTTCTGGAACGAATTATGGCTGAAATTCGAGGTACCACTGTACATGTATATATTTTTTCTTTGAATGGTCATCATGTGTTAATATGGTGTAGACACAAACACATGCAGGTGTCTATCCAGGAATGTAATATTTTTTAACCTTATCCATCATGATGGACAGTATACTTACTTAACACTCAATGATACAGTTTTGTAATTGAATCCCCTCAAGGAAGGTTCCTTGATGTTGGTGAGGGGCTCTTGATCTAGGGAATTGGATCTATGCTCCAGTTCCCGAATTAAAAACTGAATGCCATTCACATCTCTTCCCGCCCAGGCCTGTATACATCCTCAGTGGTTTAGCGCTTACTCACTTGATTATATAATAATAATGTATTGATATATGTAACTTGTAATATTTTTCAATACAGCCATTTGCTCCTGAGGTAGTACCCAAAAAATAGAGGAACTACATTCACCATCTCTTATTCAATCACTGTCTTGCCAGAAGCCTGCTAACATCACAGTTCAGTTGGTCCTCTGAACTGCAACATCTTCACCCCTTCATAGTGCAGGCACTGTGTCTCCCACCTCCAGGACTCAAGTCTGGCTAACTGGTTTCCCTGAATCCCTTCATAAATGTTACCTTGCTCACGCTCCATAATAGATAAATATCTTTACAGATTGATAGAGCATTTATGTGCTATTTCTAAGCTCTCAAAATGCATGTGTCATATAAATGAATCCTGCAACTACTGTACATAGATGTGATATTAGAGAACAAAGCTGAAAAAACATTCCAGCCCTCCACCTTATTATGTTTGTACCAGCTTTATGCCAACTCCTTGGAAAAATGTCTGCACAGGAACACTTCTTGTTTGCTTCATATTCACTACTTTGTATCATGAACACAAGAAGTTTATGACATCATCACCATCCAGGTATTCACTAGTGTTACTGTGCAATAGTAATGTAAAATATGCACACACACTAATTATACCATAGAGTCCAGTGGTCTTCAGCCTTCCTACACAAGTGGGCCACATATGATGGTCAAATGTGTGATGAGGGTCACATGGTTTTGATGATACTGTCCAGTGTGGAATCTACTTAAAAGTGAATTCACAATTTCACATAGGGGCTGCATCCATTTCCTAGGACAACTTGTGGCCTGCGATCTACATGTTGGGGACCCCTGCCATAGACTGTAATATCTGTGAAACTTTTCCATAACTTTATGCACATTTCATTTTATATTTTCAGTTGGGGAGATACTGGAGTCGAGAGGAGCGCAAACGTCATCTGGAGAAAGAGCGAGAACGTAGACGCCGTCACGAACTCTTTCGGCGACAGCAGCAACAACAAGGTCACCATAATCCTGATGAACCCCCTTCAGCACTGAGAACCTGCACACTTGAAAATGGAGTCCATCAGGCACTCTGGCGTGATCATTCTATAAGAAGAAAGACTTCAGCAACACTAGAAGCCAGTCATAAGAAATCTTCTGTATCTAGGAAGAGAGATGTAGAGGATGCAGCACATGGCCCTAGAACTCCCGTCCTTCCTCCCAACCCTCCACCACAGCAACAACCAATGAAGGGGCTTCTCTCAGTTACAACAGTCTGAAACTAACCAAGATAGAAAATAACATGAGCATCTTTTGTAATGAAGATATTTCAAGTTGCATTTATGAACTGTTCTAGACAAGTGACCTGTGGAATGGTTACTGTTGAAATGTTTTGACTAGAGATGTGATGCAACTGTTTCTTACAGTTGTCAGTGTTATCTTTCTATGCTGGGAAATGAATTTTGCATACAAAACAGAAATGAAGAACATTGATTCTAATGAACCAATACTTACATTTTGGTAAGACAAAATGAAAATAAGAATGCTGTTCATGTCAGTTTTTTGTACTTCTTCACCTTCTTTGAAAACAGGAAGTTAAAATACCCATTATTCCATCACAACTTGAAAAATATAATAGCATTGTTTTAAATGTCAGAGGACCATAAGATGTCTGAATATGCCAAGAAAATGAGAAAATGTAGCAGAATCTTCACTTCAAAGTGAGTGATAACACTAACATTTCAAATTTCTGACAGTAAAAAAAAAAAAATTCTATTCCCTTCCAAATTAAATTATTTTTTTTTCAAGTGGAGGTCCCTCCCTTTCAAAAAAAAAAATATGAAAGTGTTTGGCAAAAGATGCTCGATGAATAAGCGATGCCAAGTTAATCCAGATTGTGACATGAACGTTAGAAGCTCCTCCCAGCTTCTTGTACCCAGATGTTACTCCTACACTGGAGATATAATTTCTGTACATAGCTGATGGAAGCTGCTCATTGAACTCGTCCAGTTATTTTATACTCATTGTGAATGTACCACATACTGTGTGCTTGTGTGTAAAATTTGATTATATATACAGTATTTATACGTGTGTTGCATATACACATGTGTGTATGTACATGTGTGCATGCAGGAGAGCCAGGAGATGAGACTTGACCCCTGTAGTACTTTCTCCCCCAGACACATTTTCATGCACACACTTTCACATATACACATTTTTTACACATACACCCTTTTTCTCACATTTTCACACACATTTCTATCTATCTCTCTATCTCTGTCTCTCTCTATCTCTCTCTATCTCTCTCTCTATCTATCTCTCTATCTATCTCTCTATCTATCTCTCTATCTATCTCTCTATCTATCTCTCTATCTATCTCTCTATCTATCTCTCTATCTATCTCTCTATCTATCTCTCTATCTATCTCTCTATCTATCTATCTCTCTATCTATCTCTCTATCTATCTCTCTATCTATCTCTCTATCTATCTCTCTATCTATCTATCTCTCTATCTATCTATCTCTCTATCTATCTATCTCTCTATCTATCTATCTCTCTATCTATCTATCTCTCTATCTATCTATCTCTCTATCTATCTATCTATCTCTCTATCTATCTCTCTATCTATCTATCTATCTATCTATCTATCTATCTATCTATCTATCTCTATCTCTATCTCTATCTCTATCTCTATCTCTCTCTCTCTCTCTCTCTCTCTCTCTCTCTCTCTCTCTCTCTCTCTCTCTCACACACACACACACACACACACACACACACACACACACACACACACACACACACTGAGTCTCGACCCCTGCAACCACAATTAGGTGAGTGAGTATACACACACACACACACAGATAAAGCAGACAGAGACAGGATGTTCCAGAGATGGGACACAGAAACAAAGGGATGTTAGGAAGTATTTCTTCAGTCACAGAGTTGTCAGGAAGTGGAATAGTCTGGCAATTGAGGTAGTGGAGGCAGGAACCATACATAGCTTTAAGACGAAGTATGATAAAGCTCATGGAGCAGGGAGAGAGAGGACCTAGTAACGGTCAGTGAAGAGGCGGGGCCAGAAGCTGAGTCTCGACCCCTGCAACCACAAATAGGTGAGTACATACACACACACACAAAACACACTCACAAACCACACATACAGGAGCTATGCCTCGACCCCTGCAACCACAGTTAGGTGAGTACACACATACAGTTTTGACAAGGACAAACGGCCACCAAGAATGAACTCAGTCTCGTTTACACAAATAGTCGTAAGCACTACAAATTCTGTTTCTCCTCTTATTATCAGTGTATACCTTGCTTTTAGTCAGTATTAAAGAATCATTAACACATATTTCCCAGTAGGCAGCCATGGGGTTTCACTGGCTAGGTTCACACTTCAGTTCAACCCCTCCCCTCCCCATTACATGATTTAAATATGGTAAGTCCTTGAATTACAGACACACTTGGGACCTCCTGAATTGTGTATAATATTCATAATACAGGAAGTCTTCAACTTAGACACATTGGGGACCTGTATTGTGTATAATAATGATTTTTTTTTTTTTTTTTAACAAGTCGGCCGTCTCCCACCGAGGCAGGGTGACCCAAAAAAGAAAGAAAATCCCCAAAAAGAAAATACTTTCATCATCATTCAACACTTTCACCACACTCACACATAATCACTGCTTTTGCGGAGGTGCTCAGGACACAACAGCTTAGAAGCATATACATATAAAGATATACAACATATCCCTCCAAACTGCTAATATCCCGAACCCCACCTTTAGAGTGCAGGCATTGTACTTCCCATTTCCAGGACTCAAGTCCGGCTATATAAAATTAACCGGTTTCCCTGAATCCCTTCACTAAATATTACCCTGCTCACACTCAACAGATCGTCAGGTCCCAAATACCATTCATCTCCATTCACTCCTATCTAACACGCTCACACACGCTTGCTGGAAGTCCAAGTCCCTCACTCACAAAACCTCCTTTACCCCCTCCCTCCAACCTTTTCGAGGACGACCCCTACCCCGCCTTCCTTCCCCTACAGATTTATACGCTCTCCATGTCATTCTACTTTGATCCATTTTCTCTAAATGACCAAACCACCTCAACAACCCTCTTCAGCCCTCTGACTAATACTTTTATTAACTCCACTCCTTCTCCTAATTACCACACTCCGAATTTTCTGCATAATATTTACACCACACATTGCCCTTAGACAGGTCATCTCCACTGCCTCCAACCGCCTCCTCGCTGCTGCATTCACAACCCAAGCTTCTACTATACTTTCATACATTCCCTTCTTTGCCTCCATAGATAACGTTTTTTGTCTCCACATATACCTCAACGCACCACTAACCTTTTTTCCCTCATCAATTCTATGATTAACCTCATCCTTCATAAATCCATCCGCCGACAGTCAACTCCCAAGTATCTGAAAACATTCACTTCTTCCTTACTCCTCCTCCCCAATTTGATATCCAATTTTTCTTATCTAAATCGTTTGATACTCTCATCACCTTACTCTTTTCTATGTTCACTTTCAACTTTCTACCTTTACACACACTCCCAAACTCATCCACTAACCTTTGCAATTTTTCTTAGAATCTCCCATGAGCACAGTATCATCAGCAAAAAGCAACTGTGTCAATTCCCATTTTGTATTTGATTCCCATAATTTAATCCCACCCCTCTCCCGAACACCCTAGCATTTACTTCTTTTACAACCCCATCCATAAATATATTAAACAACCATGGTGACATTACACATCCCTGTCTAAGACCTACTTTTACTGGGAAGTATTCTCCTTCTCTTCTACACACCCTAACCTGAGCCTCACTATCCTCATAAGAACTCTTTACAGCATTTAGTAACTTAAAAATGTATGTTAGAGTGCTCAGCAGAAGTTTTGGTTACAGAAAGTGGTGTGCAAGGAGGGAAGAAGGAGCATGGTGGAATGATGATGTAAGAGAGTAGTAAGGAGAGGAAAAGTTAGCATATGAGAAGTTTTTACAAAGTAGAAGTGATGCAAGGAGGGAAGAGTATATGGAGAAAAAGAGAGAAGTTAAGAGAGTGGTGAAGCAATGTAAAAAGAGAGCAAATGAGAGAGTGGGTGAGATGTTATCAACAAATTTGTTGAAAATAAGAAATGAGTTTTGGAGTGAGATTTAACAAGTTAAGAAAGCTACGAGAACAAATGGATTTTGTAGTTAAAAATAGGATGAGAAGTATTATTAAATGGAGAGTTAGAGGAATTGCCGATGAAGGAATCTTTTGAGAAATTGTTAACTGTTGATGAAGATGGGAAGCTGTGATTTCGTGTTAGGGCAAGGAGTGGAATAACATCTTGTAGGACGTGAGGAAGAGCCAGTTGTGAGTGGGGGAAGTTCGTGAGGCAGTAGTAAATGAAAGGGGTAAGCAAGCCGCCGATGATGGATAAAGATAGAAATGTTTAAAAGCAGGTGGGGAATAGTTTTGGAGTGGTTGGTGCAATTATTTAATCAAAATGTATGGAGAGGTCAAGGTACCTAGGGATTGGCAGAGAGCATGCATAGTTCCTTTGTATAAAGCAAAAGGGATAAAGGAGAAGTGCAAAAAATTATAGGGGATAAGTCTGTTGAGTGTACCTGGTAAAGGGCTATGGTAGAGTTATAATTGAAAGAATTAAGAGTAAGACGGAAAATGGGATAGCGATGAAAAAGGGGCTTTAGGAAAGTAGGGGGTGGTGGACCAGGTTTTACAGTGAAACATATAAGGAACAGTATTTGGAAAAGGGTAAAGAGGTTTTTGTGCATTTATGGTTTTGGGAAAGGGTTTTATGAAGGGTGGGGGGGGGCAATGTGGCAGATGTTGCAAGTGAAAAATGGTGTAGGAGGTGGTTACTGAAAGCAGTGAAAGTTTTTACGAGGATAGTGAGGCTCAGTTAGAGTAGTAGAAAGAGGGAATTTTTTCCCAGTAAAAGTAGGCCTTAGACAAGGATGTGTGATGTCACCGTGGTTGTTTAATATATTTATAGATGGGTTGTAAGAGAAGTAAATGCAGGTCTTGGAAGAGGCGTGGATTAAAAGATAAAGAATCACACACAAAGTGGGAGTTGTCACAGTTTTTGCTGATGACACTGTGTTTTTGGGAGATTCTAAGAGAAGTTGCAGAGATTGGGGGATGAATTTGGTAAAGGGTGCAAAAGAAGGAAATTAAAGTGAATACAGGAAAGGTAAGGTTATGGGGATAACAAAAAGATTAGGTGATGAAGTTGAATATCAGATTGGAGGGAGAGAGTATGGAGGAGGAAAAAACTTTCAGATATTGGAGTGGCGTGCCCGCGGATGGTTATGAAGATGAGGTGAATCTTTAGAATTGATGAGGGAAAAAGAGTGATGGTGCACTTAGGTCTGTGGAGACAAAGAACTTTGCCTTAAAAGGCAAAGGGGAAGTTGAGAGTTTTAGTTTTACCAACGCTCTTATAGGTGTGAAGCGTGGGTGAAAATGTTGCAGCGAGGAGAAGGCTGGAGGAAAGTGGAGATGTCCATGTCTGGGCCAATGTTGGGTGTAAATTTATAATGCAGAGAATTCGTAGTTTGGAAGTTGGAGGAGGTGCGGGATTACCAAAACTTTGTCCCAGAGGGCTGAGGAAGGGTTTTGAGGTGGTTCGGACATGTAGAGGAATGGAGCGAAACAGAATGACTTCAAGAGGTATCATCTGTAGTGGAAGGAAGCGGGTAGGGGTCGGCCTAGGAAGGTTGAGGGAGGGGGTAATTGAGAGGTTTTGTGTGCGAGGGCTTGGATACTTCCAGCAGGCTATGACGTGAGCGCTGTTTGATAGGAGTGAATGGAGACAAAATGCGTTTTTAATCTACAATTGACGTGCTGTTGTGAGTGTGAGCAATAGTACTTTATGAAGGGATTCAGGAAACGGCAGGCCGATATGAGTCCCTGGAGCTGGGAAGTACTAGTCCTGGCACTCATGAAAGAGGGTGTTAATGTTGCAGTTTTAAAAACTGTTAGTGTAAAGCACCCTTCTGGCAAGACATTGATGGAGAATGATGGTGAAGTATTTTCTTTTTCGGGCCACCCTGCCCCCCCCTTGTTGGGAATCGCCCTTTGATAATATATATAATAATATTATACACAATACAGAAAATTCTCAACATGTTTGTAAGTCAAGAACTTACTGTACTGACTTTAGCTTAATGCAACTGGAAGGAGGGTATTAGCAGGTCATTAAATGTTAGAAAAATAGAATACCATCCTTGAAGGAAAGAGGAGGTACCTTGATGCTAGTAAAAGGCTCTTAATCCAAGGAGTTGTAGCTAGTCTCCAGTTCCATAGATTAAACTTAATATTCTCCCTTTCCCCAGACACTCTTCAACATTTACAGGGTTAGTGCTTCCTCATGAATATAGTA